GTCTCCTACGCAGTACTACTCTAATTGTTGTGTGTATTGAGCCCGATTTAAAGATCCCGGATTTCTCGGAAACCCTGCATAAACCCTAAACCCTAAATCCTAAACCCTAAACCCTAAACCCTAAATGTCCTAAAACCTCAGGTCCTTCAACCAAGAGACCCTGAGCTCTAAGCCGTCGCCCGAAACGCCCCACATCCTAAATCCGTTAATCCCTGGACAGACTCTCTCAATTCAGGAATATCCCTTAGAAAGCTTAGTTAAGGAGTGTTGGGGTTTCTGGGAACCCGTGTAGAAACCCCGTATAAACGCCTGACAAAGTCCTTTTACAGAACGATCGAACCCTTATGGAACCCTATAGTTCTTGGACCCTAAATCCGTAGATGGAGGCAAAGTCTGGCACATCTTCCTGTGCGCACATCCTCACCCGTCTCGAGGTCTCCAGGGCTTGTGACCAAGGTTAAGAGTTCAAAGGGTTGAGTGTTGAGGTTTTAAGGTTTTGGAGTTTTGGGCTTAGGGTTTTGGGTGCAGGGTTTACAAGGTTGTCAGAAGGGTTCTGTGTGGGCTTTGCAAGAGTTTGTTTTCGATAAGGGTTCTGTGAGGCTAGGGGTGTTTTGGTCGGGAGGTGGGGTAGGCGGGGGTCTAGATGTTTTTATGAGGTTCTACAGGGTTATTTGCACCCTCCCCGACACGCTCTGCATCTATGGCAAGAAGCCCTAAATCCTAAACCTAAAACCCTAAACCCTACACCCTAAACTGGGGTTCGAACAAAGGTCTTAGGGTTTAACGGCTCTTCGGGTTTAGCTTCAAGCGTTGAGGGACTGTTCGGCGCTTTTTGAAGCCGGGGCTTTAAACTTATGAATGCCAAAAGCGCTGGACCAGCCCTTAAAAAGCCTCGTTACACCCTTAAGAAGCAGCTTCACGTTAAGGACCAGAATCTGCAGCCCTAGGCCCTAAACCCTAAGCTAAGCATGTTCGAGACCTGTCATCTGTTTAAGGGTTTAGGGTTTAGGGTTTAGGGTTTTAGGGTTTAGGGTCTTGAGTGTTTAGGGCTTAAGTTCATGGACGCAGAAAGCTCAAGAGCCTTTTCTCAAGGAGCCTACCTCAAATTGGATGAAGGGCTAAACTCTAAACTCTCGGCACGACATCCCTAAACCCTAAACCCTAAACCCTAAACCCTAAACCCTAAACCCTAAGCCCTAAACCCTAAACCCTAAACCCTAAACCCCTAAACTTACCCGTAAAGCCTAAACCTGAGAGCTTGAGAAGCCCTGGCGGCCGGGCATTTCAAAGTGGGTCCTGGGGCTTCCTCGAGGCTCTTTAAAGGGTCTTAGGGTTTAGGGTTTAGGGTTTAGGGTTTAGGGTTTAGGGTTCAGGGTTTAGGGTTGTTCCCTAAACCCTAGACCCTAGACACGAAGGTTCTTTCAAGGATTCTATACATGGTCTTTTTCGAGATTTTGGGTCGAGTTCACGGTTTAGGGTTTGAGGATTTAGGGTTTGGCTGGCAGTGCTACTTCTTGCTAGCAAACTTTTTGTCCCTTGTAGATCTGTTTATAACCTGTTCCTGACGCTGCAGGTTCATAATATATCATGATTTTGTGCCCAATACAAGGACTCTAACAAAATTCTGCTAAGGATCCCAGTGAAGTTTTAGGTTGAAGGTTTGTTCTTTCGTCCCTAAACCCTGAAACCCTAGACCCTAAACCCTGGGTTTTCTGGCAACTGTGAGGTTTAGCGTTGAGCCCACACTAAACCCAAACCCCAAAGCCGAGCCTGGGTTTTAGGGCTTAGGGTTTTCGGGTTTGGGGTTTAGGATTTGGGTTTTAGGGTTTGGGGTTTACAGCCTTGGGGCGTTTTTAGGGTTCTAGGACTTGGGGTTTAGGGTACCCGGTTTCCGTCAGCACAAGCCCCCACCCAAAACTCCGGCGCCGAAGCCCGTCTTGCGTCGCTCGCGTAGCTCAAAGCTTCACGTTGAGTATACCGGCGGAATGGAGTTGGTCCAGGAAATCCTAAAACGTAAACCCTAAACTCCTCAGCCCTTCAACGTCAAAGCCTGAAGCCCAAACCCAAAGCCCTGAACCCGAAGTTCTGAACTTCAACGATTCAAAGAATCCTGAGCCGGAACTCAACAAGCTTGGGAGGCGTCAGCACAGACTCTTCGACGGGTAGCACCGCTAAACTTTGATGAGGCCTATTACTAAGCCCCAAACCCTAAACTTTGATCAACCCTAAACCCTAAACCCTAAACCCTAAACCCTAAACCCTGAACCCTAAACCCTAAACCCTAAACCCTAAACCCTAAACTTTGATGAACCCTCACCCCGAAACCAAGCGCCCCTGAATCCTCAGCCCAGAGGTGTTCAACACCTGCTGGCGCCCTGGACACAAAGCCTGAAGCCATGAACCCAACGCTCTGGCCTTAGGGTTTAGTCCCTTTGGTCCTTTTTGGGGTCCTTTTTAGGGTCCGTTTTAGGGTCCCTTTTAGGGTTTAGGGTTTAGGGTTTAGCCGCCCTGAAGGTTTAGGGTTTAGGGTCTAATCCCTAAGCCCAAAACCCCCAAAACCCTGAACCCTAGACCCTAAGACCCTAGACCCAACAGCCTAAACCCAACACCCTGAGACCGAATGCTCAAAACCCAAGCTCAAACCCTTAAGCTTCACCAACCCTAAACCCTAAACCCTAAACCCTAACCACCCATGCTTAGAGTTTTCTGCCATGGATCACCACTTTGCCCGGAGTTGGCTGAAGTCGCTGTCGGCGAAGCTTGAGAGCTTAACCGTGGCTCGTCCGATGGAGATTTTTTGAAACATTAGCTTAGAGTGTAGGGTTTAGGGTTTGGGGTTTAGTTTGTTTGGGGTTTGGGGTTTAGGGTATGATTCTTGGCCATAGTTAAGACCCCCGATTAAGCAGCTACCTTTGTTTAGGGCCTTAAAGTTAGGATCCCGATTATGATCCCTTTTTTGACGACCGGGGTTTATTGTCAGGGGTCTACATTACACTTAGGTTTTTCTTCTGCCATAATCAGCCCACAAACCCTTGAACCGGATATTGTGCGGTTAAATGACCCCAAGCCCTAAGCCCGAAACCCTAAACCCTTAACCCTACTTGGAGGGTCGGGAGACTTAGTAAGTAGGTAATAAGTAGACTTATAAGCACCCTAAAAGGGACCCTAAGTGGAGTTATAGTACTTATAAGTCATATAAAATAACCATTTACTAAGTCCCCCGACCCTCCAAGTATTGTCATTTCAAAGGGCCGGACAGCGAAGTCGTAGTGGGCCTCGCATGGAGTTTTGAACATCTGGTGCAGCAAGCCCTAAGCACTCATTTTCCCAACTCTAAGCCCTGCAAACACCCCGTACAGCCCCGTACACCCTTACTTAAAGCCACCATCATAAACCCCCCTCGAGCCCAAACCCTAAACCCTAAACCATGAACCCTAACCACGAAACCCTAAGCCTAAACCTTACGCCCCACGCCCTACGCCCTATCATCCAAGAAAAGACCGATATCGCCGAGTAGCGGCGCTCAGAAGTAACTACTCCCCAAAGCCGCTGCAGCCCCTCATGACTCCCTTAATTCTGATCGTGCCCGGTTCGGGGTTGAGGGTTTAGGGTTCAGGGTTTGGTTTGAAAGGTCTAGGGTTAATTAGGGTTTAGGGTTTCAGGTTTAGGATGTAGAGTTTAGGGGCTTGAAGTCCCGATGATCCACAAGCAACCTAAAGGCCTACCCAAAAAGCCCAGCACCCCTTAATGGTCGAATACAGATTTCACGATAAAGGGTTTGATATTGTTATTGAACAGGATATTCCTCCATGCCGGGATGTGGGGGTCCTTGGGTATGAAGCAACAACTGAAGACCGAACTGTTTCCTAGAACCCCATGGTGAAACCGTAAAAAGGAGCTGAACAGAAGACATCCCCAAACCCTAAACCCTGCACCCTCAACACTGAACCCTAAATCGGTTTAGGGTTCAGGGCTAAGCCATAAACGCACAACCCTAAACCCTAAACCCTAAACCCTAAACCCTAAACCCTAAACCCTAAACCCCTAAACCCTAAACCCTAAACCAAAACCAAAACCCTATGACCCCTGCACCCGAACCGCAAGACCAGCTCCCTGAGGAATGGTCCTGGGTCGGCGAACGACGCTGGGCTGTGGGCTCCGGGTTACTCCTCAGGGCGTACTATAGTACCATAGGCTTAGGCTTAGGGTTGAGGGTTTAGGGTTTAGGGTGTAGGGTGTAGGGTGTAGGGTTTAGGGTTTAGGGTTTAGGGTTGAGGGTTTAGGGTTGAGGGTATAGGGGTTAGGGTTTAGGGTTTAGGGTATAGGAACCTGACTAAGAAACCATGCGTCTCTATGAGGGATTGATATTCGAATGTTATTCTGCCTGGGGTTCTAGCATTAGCATCCTCTTACGGTGATTTTACAGCCATCCTATGATAGACCAAAGAACGGTCATCCAGAAAACTTCTAAGCCTCCCCATCTTGGCACTTTTCCCAAAGCCCTAATATAGGGGCCCAAATTATTGCCAATATTATGGTTAGGGTTCCTTATTATAAATATATTGTAAAGGAACGCAAAACCCTATTCCAATTCAAAAGCCCCTACATTACACGCTGCACCCTGAAACCGATCATAGAAGCGGCAGCGAGGAGTTCGACTTGGTGCGCTTCGGAACATGTAAGAGATCTCAACTTCGACCCTTCATAGTAGGATCCTTGTTACAAGAACTCTGTTTTGGGCCCTGTATGTAGAAGGACCCTTGAAACTAAGGACGATCCAGACCTCTGGTTGTTTGAACTCGACGGATTCGCCCCAAATCCCAAACCCGAAACCCTGAACCCTGAACCCTCGACCCTAAACCCTAAACCCTAGAACCTTAAACTATAAACCCTAAACCCTATAAACCCTAAACCCTAAACCCTACAAGCCCCAAGCCCTATAAACCCTAAACCCTAAACCTTATAAGCCCTAAACCGTATAAATCCTAAACCCTAAAGCCTAAAGCTCAAGCCCGAAGCAGTCGAGCATGGAGCCGAAAAGCAAGGACAGGGCACCACGCAGACGCACCGACAACTCTTCCGGGACGGGGTTTCAGGGTTGAGGGTTTAGGGTTGTGGGTTTAGGGTTTCAGGGGTGCACTTGGCGGAACTTACTACTTACTTCTTACTACTTACTACTTACTATTTAGTTACTGCTTACTACTTACTACATACTACTTACTGTTACCTCCTCCTACTTACTTACTTACTTACTTACTTACTTGCTTGCTTACTTACTTACTTACTTGCTTGCTTGCTTACTTACTTACAAACCAACTAACCTACTAACCTACTAACCTACAAACCTACTAGCTAGCTAGCTAGCTAACTAACTAACTAGCTAACTAATTAACTAACTGCCTAACTACCTAGCTACCTAACTACCTAACTACCTAACTACCTAACTACCTAGCTACCTACCTAACTACCTACCTACCTAACTAACTAGCTAACTAACTAACTAGCTGACTAACTAACTAACTAGCTAACTAGCTAACTAGCTAACT